TGTTCACTTGGAAGTGAACTCGTTACTTGTATCAAAGATGTCAAACTAATATGATAAGATTGATAACTAAGTTGAGCACGAAGCTCCTATCTAATGGCAGACGTGCCAGTCTTATATAGAACCTCCGTTCTTTGTTCCAACAGTTGGATCGCTAGAGTCGCTCGTCTACCGAGTCGACCCAGGCGACTGGAGCGCTCGTCGCTCCAGGCGACCCAACTGTCACGTGATTATAACCAAAGGAAATCCCTGGATCGCTTAGCTAGCCTAGCTGATCCCTATTTGCTATAAGTCTACGGATGTGCTTGACCTGTCAGGGCGCCGCCTGGTCTTCACTCTTCACGTGTTAACACGTGATTCGTGACAGTGTACTGTACTCTAAAGGTTTACTGTTCGTACTTTTTTCATGTTCTAAGCTGCTCACGTTTTTGGCATAAGTAACGTAAGATTACATGATAATAGATACACCGTATTAATTGGATTATAAGATAACACATCATACATAAAAGAAAGTCTGTCTAAGACCTAATATAAACCTTATACAATAGAAAATTCAATAGCTAAATAAACATTTTTGCCCTATTTTTGAGTGTTAGTATTCCCCGCCACTCCTAGCCTTTGTGTTTTTACCCTATCTTCATCTAATGTTTCAATTACTTTTAGAATCATAACGTAGTCCACAAGCGAGTTGGATTCCTAAGCGAAATGGATTTCTTTTCTTGGCACTCCACAAACTTATTCAGAGCGCGTTTTTTCTTAGCAAACAAAATGGTTAAGCATTGGACGGAGTCTGATATGATTCTTGCGTTAAATACGCTTCGTACGAACCCACATTTAAAAGTTAAGAAGGTTGCGCGGATCTATAAAGTACCTTATACGACATTGCTTAATCGAACTCATGGAATATTATCACGACAAGATTCTATCGCTAAATCTCGAAAACTTACAGAGATTGAAGAAATAGTTATCGTACGACATATTCTCGACCTAGATTCTCGATCATTCCCCCCACGAGTACGTTGTGTTGAAGATATGGCGAATCGTATCCTCTCGGAGCGGGGTGCAGGACGCGTTGGCAAGAACTGG